TGGTGGCCTCATGGAGGGGGCCATCGACTAGCACACTGCTGCTAACCACTTAAACATTCTCCCTCTCCTGATAATAACTTTTTGCTTTCCTTGACGTTGGATGTGCTACTGCTAGTTTACCCGTTTAATTATAGATCCACTAGGATAAATACAATAAAGTTGATCTCACCAAATAGAATATTTACTAAGAAATCACAATATAACTATAGACACATTATTGTGTGTGTGTGTGTGTGTGTCTGCCTGCTCTGTCTTCTCGATCCCCAGTGAGTCGTGGAGGATGGCTGCTTATACTGAGCCAGGATTCTCTGGCGGTTTCTTCCTGTTAAAAGGGAGTTTTCCTCTCCACTGTCGCTGCATGCTTGCTTTGTATGAGGATTGCTGTATAGTCACTGACACTAGTCAGTGACTTGATGCAATTTGCTGGGTTCCTTATATAGGAAACATTATTTCTGATTGGCTTAATGACCTGTGAATTGGAATGTTTATTATGTGAAGTGTCTTGAGACGACTCTTGTCGTGATTTGGCGCTTTATAAATAAGCTTGAATTGAATTGAAAGTTCCTGACAGGAGACTCTGCCAGAAGTTCCCAGCAGACACTCGCAATGTGTTTGGGCCCGCCTGGTCTGACCAGCATCCTCCCCCACCATCTGAGCCAACTCTCCACCAGATAGTGGTCAGTTAACAGCTCCGACCCTCTCTTCACCCGAGTGTCCAAGACATGCGGCCGCAGGTCAGATGAAACAACAACAAAGTCGATCATGGAGCTGCGGCCTAAGGTATCCTGGTGCCAAGAGCAAATATGGACACCTTTATGTCTGAACATGGTGTTCATTATGGACAATCCATGACTGGCACAGAAGTCCAATAACAAAACACCACTCGAATTCAGATCGGGGGGGGGGGGGGGGGGGGGGCGTTGCTCCCAACCACACCTCTCCAGGTCTCACTGTTGTTGCCCACGTGAGCGTTAAAGTCCCCCAGCAGAACGAGGGAGTCACCGGAAGGAGTGCTTTCAGCACCCCCTCCAAGGTCTCCAAAAAGGGTGGGTAGTCTGAACTGTAGTTTGGTGCATAAGCACAGACCAGTCAGAACCCGTCCCCCCACACGTAGGCGGAGGGAGGCTACCCTCTCATTCACTGGGGTAAACCCCGACATACAGGCACCAAGATGGGGGGCAACTAGTATGCCCACCCCTGCTCGGCACCTCTCAGTGGGAGCAACTCCAGAGTGGTAGAAAGTCCAACCCCTCTCAAGGAAACTGGTTCCAGAGCCAGAGCCATGCGTTAAGGTGAGTCCGACTATATCTAGTCGAAACCTCTCAACCTCACACACCAACTCAGGCTCCTTCCCCACCAGAGAGGTGACATTCCACGTGCCAAGAGCCAGCTTCTGTAGCCGAGGATCAGACCGCCAAGGTCCCCGCCCTCGACTACCACCCGTCACACACTGCACCCGACCCCTTTGGCCCCTCCCACGAGTGGTGAGCCCATGGGAAGGGGGACCCACCTTTCCTCTTCGGGCCGTGCCCCGCCGGGCTCCTTAGTTGAAAGCCCGGCCACCAGGCGCTCGCCAACGTGCCCCACCTCCAGGCCTGGCTCCAGAGGGGGGCCCCAGTGACCCACGTCCGGGCGAGGGAACACGGTTTCCATTTATATAATTCATCATAAGAGTTCTTCGGGCTGCTCTTTGTTCATGGCTGAACAGTAAATCCTTAATAATGAGAAGAAAGACGAAGACAAAAAGCTCCATTTGTCTCAAAGAGGGACAAAATAAACTCCACAAGCAAAACCAGAGGTAAGCAAAGAACACGTCTAACACGAGTCAGTTTTCAGACTTGCATTTAAATCAGAATAATAATTAAAAAGCTGAAACATTAATAAAAATATTAGGGAATTTTGCCACTTTTTTATCTCAATCCGACAGCTTTTTGATTTTCCTGCCTTGTAAACAGTTTTACATTTAAATGATTGTATGTGTTTGAGTGTGTGTGTGTGTGTGTGTGTGTGTGTGTGTGTGTGTGTGTGTGTGTGTGTGTGTGTGTGTGTGTGTGTGTGCATGTCCTCAGATATGAAGGGTGTGAAAAAACACAGAAATAGAGACAAGAGTCAGAAAGACGGGAACAGAAAGAGTGTTATGGAGGTTGCTGAGGTGTGAGAGCGGAGAAGGTGGGTTAGTCATCTGATACTGAAATCACAGCTGAGATTATGCAAAAACAGCCCTGAGATTATACGGAAACAGCCCTGAGATTATCCGGAAACAGCCCTGAGATTATACGGAAACAGGACTGAGATTATCCAGCCTGTCTGCTGGAGGAAAGTGCAGCATCATCTAAATAATAAAATGTTTCTGGCAGTTTTGTGTGACTGACAGCTGATTAAACTCCCGAAAGCACAAAATAATCCCAAAACAACATCCGACTGCTGAAACAGCAAAATATGATGTATCTGATGTTTAATCTGAAACAAATCCAATTATAAAAACTGGTAAAAGATCTCATATGTGATGAGTGTTTAGATGTTTTCCTGTCCTGCACCAGGAGGTGGCGCTCCTCTGCAAAGCAGTGAGCTCAGTGGCTGCATTACAAAAGGAGGGAAATATCATTTGTATGTAAGAAACAGAAGTTTAATTTAGCTGAAAACATTTAAAACCTGATCTGTAAACATAACAGAGCATTAATCAGGATAGAGTTGATTCACATTTTGGACGTCCATGAACGTTTAATTATGACATCTGAGATTCAGCACATGGAGTGCTAAACTAGGTCAAAGTATTTCTGAGTTCTGTTGTTTTTTATTTAGACCATTTTAGACTTTTTTTTAACTTAATTTATTTATTCAATAAAACTTAAAAAAATGTCAGATGAAAAAACGTTTTTTTCCATTGCTGAGCTCAGCTAAACTTCTAAATCTATTTAAAGAGGTCCTTCACTGAGAAACCGTTTTTTACTTATTCTTTAAACTTGAAGTCCTGTTAGTCATCACACACGGGTTTAACCCATCCCTGTGGGACGTGGCGAGCTGCAGCTGTGTCTGGGAACTGTTTGGTGGTCAGACTACTGTAACTCTCTTTTCACGTGTCTGAGCAGAACCTCCCTGAACCGTCTACAGGTGGTTCAGAACGCCTGTGCTCGGCTTCTGACCAAGTCCTCCAAACACACCCACATCATCCCGCTTCTCCTCCAGCTTCACTGGCTGCCAGTCACCTTCAGGGTTCATTTCAAGATCCTGGTTCTGGTCTATAGGGCCTTACATGGACAAGCACCATCTTACATTGGTGATCTTCTTAGTCCCTACACCCCCAGCAGGTCCCTGAGGTCCAGTGATCAAAGCCTACTGGTTGTGCAGCACCAGGCTAAAGGTCAAAGGTGACAGATCATCTGCTGCTGTGGCCCCCAGACTCTGGACCTCTCTCCCCCTGAGCCTGAGATCAGTGGACTCAGTGGTCTCCTTTAAAAAGCAGCTGAAGACTCACTTGTTCAAGCTGGCTTTTGTATGACCTTCTTCACCTCTCTCTCTTTATTCTGCTCTCCCCACCTATTCCACCTTCCTCAGGATCCACTGATTTCCCTCTTTCCTGTTCACTCTCTCTATTTCTTAACATTTTTTAATCACAATTGTGTATTTTTGCTCATTTTAAATATATTTTAAAACATTTTCTAAATGCTTTTTTATATTTTTACATTTTTTTTGTTTTTGTGAAGCGCCTCGTGAATTTTATCTTGAGAGGCACTATAGAAATTACACTTTCTTCTTCTTCTTCTTCTTCTTCTTCTTTAACCCCCAATCCAACCCCGTATGACCTGATCGGGATTTGAACCCTGGTCTCCCAGTCCCAGTATGACACTCTACCACTAGGCCACTGAGATGATTATAATGGGTCACTCTGAGCTTTTCAATCAGTCTGAACATGAAAATAGTCTCCTACACCAATCTCCTGCATCAGCTTCTGACAGGAAACAGACGGTGAGACTATGATTAGAAAAGCTTGACAGATCTATGTCACACTGTCACCTAACATCCACGGACTCACCCATCTTGACTCACAACGGGGAGGGTTGTTGTTGGTTTAGAGTCCAGCAAACAGCAGAGAACGTTTAGCAGAAGCTAACTGTTAGCATTAGCAACTCCACCTCACAGCAGAACTCCCCCAGGCTTGAGTTATTTGCGGAGATAAAGCGTCATAGTAAGTGGTAGAGTCATGTTTTTGTTAGCCAATCAGAGGCAAGATGTCCAAATACAAGGTTCTCCTCTGCAAATGCATCGATTATGATTATGTATTGACCTTTAAACCAATCACGTTCTCTGCCTCATCCTGTCTACTAAAGGGCCTTTGAGCAAGTGAGAGTGCGGCCTGCCCCGGTGCATTATGGGACTTGGAGTTTTAGTTGTATTTTAAAATTACAGACAAGTTTTAATAAAATATTAAACATGATCCCACAGACATCTTATGAGTCAGACTTTGCTGATTCTGCTGTCTGCTGCAGGTGACATACTGACTGATGACCAACACTCCACACAGCAGCAATTAAAGTTTTCTTTAAGGGGAAGTGGAACACACCGAGTCCCTCCCGTCTCCCCATGGCAAGGCTGGATTCAAACACACAGGCAGGGAAAACGTGCACAAGTTCTCATTCATCCAAATGAATGTCAGTGGGGAAATTGCTGCTTTGTGTTCATGCCAGTTACTGTATTATATTTTTAATCTGAACAATTTTATTACTCTACCCAAACACAGCCAGGTTTGCAGCCACAGGAAGAGGGGTCAGGACTATACACCAGACGCCCTGCAGACAGTGTAGGTTGAGTCTCATGCTTTTTCTGCCTGCTAGAGAAGTTTCAGGGTCTGAATTCATTCTCAGCATTTTGATCCTCACAAACCCTGGAAAAGGTTTGGAATTCCTGTTCCCAACTCTGAGAATGAGCACAGACCCAGGAGTGGAGGGCGGGGACAACAGCTGTGACCCATGCAGAAATATCCATCACTGAGCAGGCCTTACCCTGTCCTTCACTATGAGACACTTTGCAAAGGAAGGAGACAAACAATGGACATAGTTAGTCATAGTGAGACAGAGAGGACACTTCAGCTCAGCTGTCTCCAACCAGCTAAAGTATGAAATCATACTATTAAAGCCCCCCATCTGCTCAGGGAAGTCTATCATCCACAAGTGAATCTGTTCAGAACCAGTAGCTACGGAAGCCCTGAAAGGACAAAATACATTCTTTTTAAAGAGGGAAGTGTTTTTATTTTATTTTATTTTATGATGTTTAATCAGAATAAAGAGGGTTTTTTTATGAAGGAAAAAAAACATGTTGAACATGTGTTCATTATTTATTAGTTTGTTTATTTGAGCAACTTAAAGCTGGGATATGTAGTTTAAAACATTTAAATCAACAATGCTTAAATGTGACCATCTGACCATATTCTATGATATAAAGTAGGTCATCTTTCATCCACAATAGCGGGGTTTCCCCCAGTGCTTTATAAGCCTGGCTTTGCTTAGCTTTGCTTGGCCACCCACCAGGCTAAGCGTCATGCCCCGCCCTCTTCCCCAACCCTTCCGTGTCCACTGACACGAACTGCGAAACGAAACTAGAGCCCTCCATCAGCCGATAATGGTGAGAAACAGCAGTGGAATGTGTGCAGAACGTGTGCAACCCTCATTTTCTGGGGGAAACCCTGAATAAGCAGCTGTCAATCAATGAGAATCCGCTTCAGTTCCCAGCATGCACTATGGGGTAATGCACTGACGCACACCAGCCTAGCTTGAATGTTAACTTGAATTAAAGAGCAAACTGCAGGTGAATTTTTTTTTTCTAATTCATATAAATGCTGTCCAATAAATACTATTTGAAATGCTTATTGGGGATATTTTGTTGTAAAATACATAACAGCAGAGTTTTTCTGGTAAAAAGTGGTTTTTCTCAGCAAAGCTTCTAAATAGGCTTTTTTTTCTAAATCTGAACCTCTGACGTTGCTCGGGTACAAGATCAGCTCGCGGTCCTTCGACTGATGATGACGTCAAAGTAGTTGATTGGCTGAACATGAACTTTACGGAAGTTATGTAATCACATTACGTTGTTATCACGTTACGTTTTCTGTTGGAAAGATAGAGCTGCATGTATATTAAGGCTTAACGATTAATTTCATGTGCAATTAAATTGCGATGTGACAAAAGCTGCAATTTGGCAGCGAGTGATTAGTGCAATGCTAATATACATGGAAAAACCCATAGGAATGCTAATGCTAATATCACTGATTACATTCTTACAAATTATGAATTAGAAACGTGCCAAATGATTACATTTGGAGTCTAATAGAAAGTAAAACTACCATCAATCAAATAAATACAGACAGGTATTTTAGTAAAGCCAGAAAACTTTTAACTGCAGAGTTTTAAGCTAGCAGCTATGAGCGTACCTGAACTACGCATGGACAAGACGTCAAAAACTCTAAACACAAAATACTTCAATAAATGGGACACACTTCTTTCCTGCAAATACAATTTCACAGGTGTTGCTAATACCTATGATCCTTCAAGGGATGTGCTCAAAGAGGAGTTCAGCATTATGAATACAATATAGTGTTTTATTTTACAAATACCATTATAAACACAAACTTACGTCTTAAGAAACATTATTTTAATAACGAAACAGCTAAATTATTTCCAACAGTATAAAGATGTGTAGTGTATTTTGTCCGAGTGGGTTTGCCGTACTTTAACGTCATCGGCAGTCGAAGGACCCCGAGCTGATCTTGTACCCGAGCACATCCTGTACCGACACCGGAACCAAAGGGAGTTAGAAGCTAGGTGCGGCTTCAGCTCAGTGTTGAGAGTGACTAGTTTTAGGGTAGAGAGGTCATGTTATCGAGTCAGTGTGTGTGTTTACTAGTGTTGGATTGTGTTCGTTTTGATAAACTATAGTTTGTGAAGGTTGCACCAACTCCAGCCTGTCTGGACATCGAGTCCACGGGTTCCGAGACAAGAGAAACAACACCTATATCTTCGTGCCTGAGGGTGTTTTGTGCAGCTGAAAAGATTGACTTCTGTAGCCCTCATCGGTCCGTACTGGGAGAGGGAGGTCCGCGCTGGGCTCTGGAGACCCGTGGTGGTGTTTAAAAAGTTAAATTAGGATTTTTGGAGCTCAGATCACCATCAGAACCAGGTCAGAACCGACCACTAGGAGAGACGCGCAGCTCAGCAGGTCAGTTGAGCTGGTTTCTGGGTCGGAACCATTTTAGATCCACTGTCTGTACCACCAGCAGAGGATGCTTTGCTTTTAAAAATACTAGTGAGCCTTTCGAGCTGGTTTCTGGGTCGGATCCAGCTCACAGAAACCCTCATGGGCTCACGAACCGCATCACAGGCGTCTCTCTCTCTCTCTCTGAAGCGCTAAACTACGTTACGTGTTGTGCCAAAAAGCAACTGGCTGCCAAAAAAAGATTAGCCACCGTGGGGTCGCGCACGGTTAGGGTAATTGCATTTCTTGACAAAATTCCTCAGGATTTCGCCTTAAAACTCGGCATATCTAGCAATATGGACATTGAGAAAGCAGAGATAACCTCATCCGGCACTTAAACAGATGTTTATCGCGGACATTAGTTTTTTCCAGTTCGGAAGTTGTTTTAAGTGTTGCTATTTGTCTTAAATGTTCACAATGAGGATATATTAATCCTTTTTGCAATATTTGCGATTGAAAGGCGGTTTGTGGTAAGAACTGGCTTTCTTTATGTTACAGCCTTGATACTAAAAAATAAATAAACAGTGTAAAATGGCGCCCTGTATTGAATGTAAAGTCAAACGTTGTATAAATGTAAATAAACAATTATCCAGCGATTTGACTTATCCCCCCTTCCTTTCTTTAGTCCACTTGACATGGAGCCACAGTTAACTAGTTTGGGGCACATTTTTACTTGAAAAATAGTATTTAAACTGATCAAGCTTTGGCTTTAATGACACTGTGTAGGTTACTATCTATACATTACGTTGCTCTATTTAAAAGTAACAAGATAAAAGCACTTCAGCACATACAATTAAGATTGTCACTTGCCAAATAGAGACTATACCCTCCTGTTATAAGAAACGCCTCAAAATATCTTTAAATTCTGTATTGATGATTTAATTGTAGACAACAAAAAAGGCATTTTACTTGCCAAAAAGTTATTGAATCGCTCAGATTTTCATGGAGGCTAAAATGGACCAAATAAGGGTTTTATGTATTATCTGTTGATGTTATTGTACTCATACTGTCTACTGTATCATCATAAACACCCAAAAATGGCAACAAATGATCATTTCCCTTGCCAAACATTGATTACAGATTACAGGTCACCTGTAAAGGGTTAAATTGACCTAACTATTACTTTATTTATTATCTCTTGATGTTATTAGTCCCATCACAGGATGCTGGGTCTCTTCTTAAGACATGACCACCCCCACTGTACTTGTGCTATGTCGGACTCAAAAATATGCTAAAAATAGTAGTTGACGTCACGCTACAGACCCCAGCTTTAAGGCAAGCTAAGACCATCTAAAACAAGATGATTATTTTTTAAAGTCTGTCTACATTTTTGTTTGCTTCTCTGAGAAATGGAATTGGCTCCATTTAAGCCTCATTGTTTATTTTCTTTCAGGGCTTCTGTATTTGTTGTTTAGTTTCCTCTCTTTCCTCTTTGAACTTGATAATTATACACCTGAGAACATAAAACAAAGCTAAATCTAATACTCTACAATCTGCTTCCCAGGATAGAAATCAACACCTGAACCTTTCAGCTTCAGGTTTAAGGGATCGAGTTCTTATTAAAATCACATTTACGATACAGTGAGAACACAAAAAGGATGCTAACCACTTTGTCCTCCTGTGTGGCATGCAGTCCAGGTAGCAAAGAGGATTTAAAAAAAGCGAAGGGGAGGAGTGGAGAGAGGGAGAAAAGAAACACATGATGGAGGAAGTAGAGATGCAGAGGAGGGAAGTTTGTGATGAGGAGAGATTGAGTCAAAAAGAAGGAAAAGGGACAGGGGGAGTGGGGTTTGTTATTAAAGTGAATTCTCACGGAAACGTAACAGTCTGCGGAGGTGGTGAAAACAAACGCGTGACTGACATGCATGATTTAGGCATGATGCTAGCATGACAGCATATATGAAGCCAGAATCCTGGTTTTAATGTTTGTTCAGCTGTGAGGCCCACGTGACACAAGTTTCCTCATCTGTGCATGTTAATGAGGGGTCAGTAGCTCCCCCTGCAGGTAACTCGTGGCACAAGCACAATGATGAAGCTCCCACTCCAAAGGTGGCTGAAGGAGGATGAAAAAGCGCCACCTACTGGACAGGAGTGCACGTGACGCCACATAGAACCAATGAGTGGACCGCTGTGACGCAGCTGAAGCCATCGTAGTGCAAATACGAGCTCATGCACGTCCTCGTTCAGTCGGAAGCAAAAGCAAAATGGCTTCTGAGCACAAAGAGGAAACAGTGAAAGCAATGAGAAGCACATGCCTCCTTTTCCTTTTACACCTCTTTCTAAGACAAAACGCTGTCATTATAAACTGAGTTTAGCAAAAAATAAAAAAAAATAAAAATAAAAACATGAAAATGACCTCTAGTGGCTGGCTGCAGGATTGGTTTTATGCCCCGCCCTCTCAAATTACCTTTATTGAAAGAAAACAAAGCAAAGCCGTCAGTGGAAACATTGGCTTGTTCTTGGGGGAATTTAAAAATAGTTGTTATGTAATTACAACAAGTTAACAATGGTTTGGAAAACGTTTGTGTTAAAAAGGGACCAGAGTCTGGATTCAGTCCAGTTGAACGTCCTGCATCACCCACCACCTGTCCACCAGTACTAGACTTCAGTTTTGTTCTTGTCTGAAGGTTGATGCATTTAATCCTCGGTCGAATATTTTTGTTCTCTGATTTTGAAGTTGAGATTTAGAGTAAAGACCTGATATTTGATGCCTGAAGCTGATTTTAACCGTTTTTGGTAATAAACTAAAATCACTTTTTCATCATTCATATTTAAATTTACAAAAAACTTCAAAAAGGAAAGAATGAAAAAAAGGGCTGGATACACTTTTTTAAATAATTAATTTTCCTGTGTGTATATTTTTATTATATATTTATTTATAATCATTAAAAATGTATTTATAATTGTATAATTTGTTAATTAATGTAATTACATTTATTTACTTATTGTTTATGATTGAATAAAATATGGGGTCTACATTTTCCTCTACCAGGTGGATGACTGTACTCATCTATTAGCTAGTCATCGACCCTCGTTGTTGGTGGAGGTGTCCTGATTTGGTTTTGTGTTTCATTCATTTGAGTTAATTGTTTGCCAGCATGTCAGAATAAACACCTAAATACAAACTAATTAGCTACAAAAACATTTCCAACAAAAAGAAGCAGCTGATTTAAGTAATAAATGTTTATTTTCTTCCTTTATTATTAAATATTTACTCTCTTGGCTCTAATACTGTTCATATTTATAACATAAATTATTCAGATCATATTAAGTGAAGTTATTTTCAGCACAGTTTCCCTTCAAATCATTTCTTTTACTTATAGATCGTGTTCTAATGAGAGGTTTTACCAGCAGGTCTGCTTTTTGCTAACTGGTATCTAAGTCCCGTGGTCCCGGTGTGAAACCGGTCCCAGCTGGGACGGGCGGATACCGAACAGATTGGCACCAGCAGGTGATGGGTGGAGGGAACATGAGGTGAAGTAAGCAGAAGGAAAGCTTCTCTTTCAGGTTGGAGACGAGCCCAAAGACGGCTCTGATGGAAGAGGACGGGTTCTCAAAATAGAACAAACATGTTTGACAAAGGCTTGGACGTCACACCGATCCCTCCTGGTCCAAACTAACGGTTAAAGCGCCTTTAATGGACGGGTTCTGTGTCAGAAATCCTGTGCTGTGTGCAAGAACACAAACCCCACAAAAAACTGTAAAATGTGTCCAGGCCCCTCTCCGATCCACACGCCTCCGCCGGACTGTATTCAGAAGCTATTCCAGGTCAAAGAAACTCAGTATGATCTAAGGGGTGGGGGGGTGGGGGGGGGGGGGGGGGGGGGGAGGAGGACAATTTGTGAAAGAGAAAGTAAGAACAAATGTTTAGATTGGTTTATGCTTGACGCGTCCACGAGGTCCGCACGGCTCCGTGCGGCGAAATTGCATCATTTGAGCAACTACGCCTCTCCACCGCGCCTCCGCACCGCGCACCTAGGACATTTTCTAAAGCTTGGTTTATGCTTGACAAACAGATTTTTTCCGCTTGGTGATGCGGCTCGCGGATGGAACGCGCTTCACAACTCGCAGCGTTTATGGTTCATGCGGCTCGTCTCTGCGGTGAACCAATATTCTCCCAAACTGTAGGGGGCAGCATGGAGCTCTACAGCATGCATCCAACACTACACCATAGTAGAAGTAGAAATTACTGTTTACAACATGGCATTCCAGCATTTTTAACAGCGTCCTCGTCTTTTCCGACAGTGCGAGCGATTTCTCTCCAAGAATTATTAACAACATGTTGATCACGGTGATCTCTGAGAGCTGAATCATACAAATGTCTGTATTTACGAACCTCTGCCATACTAGTTCTTGCCGGTCCGCCATGTTTTTCCGCATCTGACCATCCGCGTGGTTAATCTTGGTTTATCTTTCCGCACCGCGCACCTAGGAAATGTTCTAACCACGCGGATGGTCAGACGTGGAAAAACATGGCGGACTGGCAAGAACTAGTATGGCAGAGGTTGGTAAATACAGACATTTGTATGATTCAGCTCTCAGAGATCACCGTGATCAACATGTTGTTAATAATTCTTGGAGAGAAATAGCTCGCACTGTCGGAAAAGACGAGGACGCTGTTAAAAATGCTGGAATGCCATGTTGTAAACAGTAATTTCTACTTCTACTATGGTGTAGTGTTGGATGCATGCCGTAGAGCTCCATGCTGCCCCCTACAGTTTGGGAGAATATTGGCTCACCGCAGAGACGAGCCGCATGAACCATAAACGCTGCGAGTTGTGAAGCGCGTTCCAGCCGCGAGCTGCATCACCAAGCGGAAAGTGAATGCGTCAAGCATAAACCAAGCTTTAGGAGTCAGAGTTGTACTGCAGTAGGAGTCAAATTAAGGAATAGCTTGGACACTGGAATCAGGGCATGTAACACTGTTAAATCATTTTTTTTTAAAAATGTACGTCAATAAGATGATGTCATACTACCATAATGACCGTATGTGGTCTAGTGTGTCTGATAAATGTCAATGAAAATGTAATGTTCTTGCACAAGTGATAGTATTCAAATTCGAAAGAACGAGATCGCGGATACAAGCGGCCGAAATGAGTTTCCTCCGTAGGGTGACCGGGCTCAGCCTTAGAGATAGGGTGAGGAGCTCGGACATTCGGGAGGGACTCGGAGTAGAACCGCTGCTCCTCCGGATCGAAAGGAGTCAGTTGAGGTGGTTTGGGCATCTGGTCAGGATGCCTCCTGGACGCCTCCCTGGG